CCGTGTCCGGCGGCTCCCTCTGGCACCCTGTCTAGTCTTTACCTCCCCTCGTTCTCTACGAACTTGGTGAGTGGTGCTGACCTAAAGGATGGGGGAGTTCACGAGTTCACTCCTGCGAGCCAGCGGGTGACCCACTGCACGGACGCTCGGACGGGCCGACACTTGGCCACGTTTACACGTCGGCCGGGGTCGAGCCTGTACACACTGACCACTGCGTCTTCCCCTATCCCTGCGTCTCCTTGGGTAGCTGCGTCGGGTCAGGTGTTTGCTGTAGCGTCCAGGTCTGGTCCTCAGTCTGCCCCCTGCTCGTGTCGCCTCCTGTCTCACGAGACTCTCCTCTGGCACCACCGCCTTGGTCACCCCTCCCTGCTTTGTCTCCGCGGCATGGCCTCCCGTGTCCTTGTCTCTGGTCCTCCCCGGTCCCTCCCTCCCCTTCCTCCGGGTCCTGGCCCTACCTGCGTCCCCTGTGTCGAGGGGCGGCAGCGGGCTGCCCCTCACTCCTCCCAATTTCCTCCGACAGAGGCCCCACTGCAGACGCTTCACATGGACGTGTGGGGCCCCGCTCGCGTCCCTGGACAGGGTCACGAGCGCTACTTCCTGCTGGTGGTTGACGACTACTCACGTTACACCACAATCTTCCCCTTGCGCAGCAAAGGTGATGTCACTGAGGTTTTGATCGACTGGATTCGCGCAGCTCATCTTTAGCTCAGGCAGAGCTTCGGCTCGGACTTTCCTGTTCTACGTCTGCACTCTGACAGAGGCGGAGAGTTCTCCTCTGGCCTTCTGCGAGCCTACTTTTGTGCATGAGGCATCCGCCAGACCTTCACGCTTCTGGACTCTCCACAGCAAAATGGGATTGCTGAGCGCCGCATTGGCATGGCCATGGACGTCGCCCGTACGCCCATGACGCATGTGGCTGCCCCCCATTTTCTGTGGCCGTTTGCGGTTCGGTACGCGGCGCATCAGATTAACCTTCACCCCAGAGTCTCCATGCCAAAGACCTCCCCAGCTTTACTGTGGATGGGGAAGGTTGGCGATGCGTCTGCGTTCCGTGTCTGGGGATCTTGGGCGTTTGTCCGCGACTTGTCTGCGGACAAGCTGTCCCCTAGTGCTGCTCCTTGCGTCTTCCTTGGCTCCCCCCCTGACGCGCCAGGGTGGCAGTTCTACCACCCCACCTCTCGCCGTGTTCTGTCCTCCCAGGACGTCACATTTGACGAGTCGGTCCCTTACTACCGCCTCTTCCCCTACCGCACTCCGTCCCTCCCCCCGCCACCGCTCTTCCTTGAACCAGGTCCCCCCTCGGTAGACCCCATCCCCCCTCAGGGTCAAGCCCCTTCAGGTGTGTCCTAGGTACACACAGTCGAGCTTGACGAGGTTACTGGTGACTCTGGTGCTGCCGAGGGTGCTGAGCTTGAGGGTGCTGACTCTGGGGGTAGTGAGACTGGGGATGCTGAGCCTAGGGGTGCTGAGCCTGGGGGTGCTACTACTGGGGGTGCTGAGCCTGGGGGTGCTGAGACTGGGGGTGCTGAGCCTGGGGGTACTGAGCCTGGGGGTGCTATGCTTGGGGGTGCTGAGCCTGGGGGTGCTACGCCTGGAGGTGCTGAGCCTGGGGGTGCGGAGCCTGAGGGAGTTGGACCTGCTCGTGTGGCGTCTCGCGGTGCTGGGCCTGGAGGTTCTACGGGTGCTTCATCTCCGCGGGAGCCACTCTCTCCACAGGAGCTGCGCGAGTGGTTTGCTCGTTGCTGGAGGCGTGCTACTGGAGCTGGAGGTTCTTCGGCTGGTGAGGGTGCTAGTGCCGCGGGTCCCAAAGGTGCTCGTACTGGGAGTACTGGAGCTGCTGGGCCTGCGGGTACGACTGGAGCTGGAGCTGCTGAGGGTGTTGGCACTGAGGCTACTGCTGTCGGTCCTGGAGGCGGTCCTGCTGAGGGTGCAACTGGTGCCGCTGGAGTTACTGGAGCTGGAGGTGCTACTGGCGCTGGTGCTGCCGCAGGGGGTGCTGGTGCTGTCCTTGCTGTGTCTGGAGTTGCCGCGCGGCCTCGGCCGTACTTCGTTCCGCTCCTTCAGCAGGTTCTTGGTCTCCCGCCTTCTACTGGTCCTCCTCCTCCCTTAGAGTGTCCACAGTCTGTCCCATCACAGTTACAGTTACAGCCGACCTCCACAATGCCTGCTCCTTCTCCCTACACTGGTCCTACTGGAGGTCTGGCTGAGCGACGTGAGCCTGCGTCGCCCTACGTCGCCTGTCCGTGCTGCTCGCGCTAGTGGTCGGAGCTCGCGTCAGCGTCCTCCTCCTGTCCCTGGCACGCACCGGATGTCTCTGCGTCCGTCCACTGCTCCTCTGCGTGCCCCTTTGCCTTCTCCTCCTGAGTCCTCTCTTCCTGCTCTTGCCGACCCGGAGTCGGACTCTCTTCGTGTTGCAAGTCCTACTGTCACGCGTCTCCTTGCTACTGTCGTCACTGACCCTTCCTTTGAGTCCACTGCTGCGTCTGCCCTAGCTGCTGAGCTCGTCGACTTTGCTGCTCGCTGTCGTCTAGACTACGCTGCTAGTCTTGTCGCTGAGTCTGAGTCTGTCTGTCCTCCGTCCGTCGGGGGTGAGTGTGCCCTTGGCACGGACGTCCTTGAGGACAGGCAGGAGGAGTTTTAGTGTCTGGCCGCTGCTTCACCTTATCTCGTGTTCGTACTGCTTACCCCTGATGGAGACCTGGATGCACTTGACATCCCGACTCCGCGCTCTTACGTGGAGGCGATAGAGGGTCCCTACTCCTCTCAGTGGCAGGCAGCTATGGACGCAGAGATGGCTTCCTGGAAGTCCACAGGCACCTACGTTGACGAGGTTTCCCAACCTGGGGCGAACATCGTCAGTGGCATGTGGATTTTCAGGGTGAAGCGGCCACCGGGCTCTCCGCCTGTCTTCAAGGCGCGCTACGTGGCTCGTGGCTTCAGTCAGCGGCAGGGAGTTGACTACTTTCAGACCTTCTCTCCGACCCCAAAGATAACCACTCTTCGGGTACTGCTGCACGTAGCTGCTCACCGTGACTACAAGCTACACACTCTCTTGACTTCAGCACTGCTTTCCTGCAGGGCAGCCTGCACGAGGAGATCTGGCTGAGCCTCCGGCGGCCAGTCTACGGTCTCCGCCTGGCACCGCGTGAGTGGCACGACACACTGAGGACTACACTTGCGGCTCTTGGGTTTGCTCCCTCTACTGCCGACCCGTCGCTCTTTCTGCGCACCGACACTTCTTTGCCGTCGTTCTACATCCTCGTGTACGTCGAGGACTTGGTCTTTGCCACAGCTGACACTGCTGGACTCGCCCACGTGAAGTCCGAGCTGCAGAAGAGACACACGTGCACTGACCTGGGTGAACTACGCAGCTACCTTGGATTGCAGATCACCCGGGACAGAGCACGCCGCACCATTACCCTGACTCAGTCACACATGGTGCAGCAGGTCCTTCAGTGCTTCGGCTTCACATACTCCTCGCCTCAGGCCACTCCTCTGCCTACTCGCCACTCGCTCTCAGCTCTGCCTTCGGATGAGTCCGTAGAGTCGAGTGGCCCGTACCCAGAGCTTGTTGGCAACCTCATGTACCTGATGACCTGCACACGACCTGACCTTGCATACCCTCTTAGCATTCTCGCACGTTATGTTGCTCCTAGGAGACACAGACCAGAGCACATAGATGCAGTGAAGAAGGTGTTGCGCTACTTGTGCAGTACGTCGGGCATGGGGCTTGTGCTCTGAGGGCAGAGTCCAGTGGTCCTCACTGGGCACGCAGACGCTTCTTGGGCTAACGACTAGGCTACGCAGCGGTCGTCACAGGGTTACACATTCAGCCTTGGTTCCGGCTCTGTTTCGTGGCGGGCTACTCGCTCGTCTTCTGTTCTCGGCTCCAGTTGTGAGGCTGAGATCTATGCAGGAGCCATGGCTGCTCAGGAGCTTCGCTGGCTCACCTACCTGCTGACTGACCTCGGAGAGCCGCCTCGTTCTCCTCCAGTGCTGTACGTAGACAACAAGGCCATACTGGCCTCGTGTCGGGAGCAGCGAGTGGAGCACAGAACGAAGCACATTGCTCTCCGCTACTTTCTTGCTCGTGAGCTGCAGCAGCGTAGTCAGCTGTGTCTTGCTTACGTGGCCTCTGAGGCAAACACTACTGATATCTTCACCAAGGCGCTTGCGCCTTGTGATCATCAGCGCTTCTGTACTCAGCTGGGTCTTGTGCCTGCCTTGCCTCAATTGCTCACCTCTTGACCTTGTTTGTACTGTTATATATATATATATACACATGCTCTTGCTTTTCTAGCCTTTTATATATATATATACTCCTGCATGTGAACTGGCCTTGTGGCCTTGAACTTGTGCTCGGAATGTATGGTGACTTTGTGATCCACCCTGAGCTTGCTTTGCTTTGCTTGACTGGTCTTGTGACCCCTTGTTCTCCCCCACTTTGCCTATGGGGGTGTGTCAGAACATCATAGCTTATGCAGTTTGTGTAGGCTATAGTGGGGTAGCCCATAAGGGGTACAACCCAATTAGGGTTAGTACTTGTACCCAACTCTTTTATAGTTCATCCATTCTCGTTTCTTCTCACACCGCTCGGACTCAACCACAGCGCATGCAAAGAGCAAAATGAGGAAATATATCACAATCATGTATGGATTCATTATTTTCAATATCCTGAGTATGAATAGCAAGTCCAACAGCATGGCATGTCTCATCATATCCAACGTTGTTGGCAAGAAAAGTTTCCTGGCTGACAGGGTGAGAACGGCAGCTTGTTTGGCGCAAGAAAGGCCTCAGTTGTTAGCACAAAAGGAGCTCTTCTTTGTTGAATTGCATAATAAACTTCAATCCACAGTGCTCGAAACCCCACCTGCAAATGACAGGAGAAGTGTATTAATGTTTCAGGAGCAGATATTACTCCTAAATGCTCTTCTTGACACAAAGAATGCCCACAAGAGCATCAACATGCCGGTAAACGTTGCACGGCACCCGTATTACCATCACATAGCCACGTTGTGACCCCTCGGTATAGTCACCTTGGGAACGTCGCTGACGGTAGCACTGAAGTGCCACAAGCCATCCTCGGGGTGGTGCTTGGGCGGCGATACGGTGTGCAGAAAGAAAGGGATGGCCTGCACGCACAGCTCAAACTTGCGCTCATATGTGCTCGGTATTATTGGTACTGGCGCCGTGCTGCCACAGAAGGGGCAGGGAGCGCACGGGGTGGGAGGGTGGGAGAAAGTCAGCAGATGCGGCAAAAGAAGGGTGTGGCCTGCATTGCACTGCAACCACAGGTCAAGCTTGCCCCGCACACGCCCCTGGAACTGCTGGTGTTGGCGCCGTGCTGAGAGGGTGGGGCGGTGGGGGTGAGGGAAGGTGAGCAGGTGCAGCAGAGGAAGAATGGCTCCGACCGGCTTTGCCCGCATACGTGCCTGGCGCCGCTCAAGGGAAGGGCATGGGGGGTATTGAGAGGGTGGGGGGGACGCATGGGGAGAGGTAAGCAGGTGCAAAGGAAGGAGGGGATGAGCTGCACAAACAGGGCTTATGCCATGGCACTCACCACCCCCTTGCACTACTCACCACCCCTTCCACCACTCACCACCACCTTCTACCACTCACCACCCCTTCCACCACTCACCACCACCTTCCACCACTCACCACCCCTTCCACCACTCACCACCACCTTCCACCACTCACCACCCACTGGAGCCTCGCTGTACCACGAAGTGGAAGTCTCGACGGGCGCTGGCAGTGCGGCCAGTCCTGTGAGACACGGGGAGCACGGTGGGGGAAGGGGGAAGGGGAGAAGGGGGAAAGGGGGATTGCGGGTGGGGGGAGAGGGGTTGTGGGGAGGAAGGTGTGCGAGTTTCGGGTTTGAGAAGGAAGAGGAGATGAATGGAGAGAAAGAAAGCAACTGGTGCCGTAGAAGCCACAGCGCACAACCACAATGACAAAGCAGTCGAGAACCATGCGCTCCCATGAAACATACAGAGAGCTTAACAAGAGCCTGCTCTTTCAGTAGCCATAGACACACCCATTCTCCCTATCCCTCCTGCCTCCTCCCCTCCCCCCCTGTCCTCCCCTTCCCTTTCCCCTCGCCATACCTCTCCCTATTCCCCTTTCCCTCCCTCCCTCCCCCCCCTCCTCCCTGTCGCTCTCCCCCGTGTCCCACCTCCACCTCCGTAAACATCTCCCTCCCCTCCTTCTCACCACGCTCTAGCCGCCAACGGCTTCCTATCTGACGTGGCAAGAATGGTGAACGTGGGCCAATCAAACCGCCACCTCAGCTTAGGCCAGTCCACAGCTGGCAGCTCGGGAACACAGGCCCAGGGATGTGCCGGCTGCTCCTGATTGGTCAGCGTGACTCCGTCCATCCCTTCCATCCCCCCTCCTCCTGCCCGAGCCTCTTCTGCTTTCCGTTCCTCCCAGGCAAACAAGCCCGTGCCCTCTACTCTGTCAGAGCGCTTGACGCGCGCGGGGGAGTAGCTGCGCGCACTGTGGGGGCGGGTCCAGGTGAGGGCGGGGCGGGAGGAGGCGGGGAGAGAGGCGCAGGAGGAGTTGACGTGGAGGAGAGGTGAGGAAGGAGAGGATGGCTTGGCCAGCCTGTAGACGGAAGTGGGGGGGTTGAAGAGAGGGGGTGCGAGAGAGGGGTTAAAGAGAGAGGGATGGAGAGAGGGGGATGGAGAGAGGGGAAGAAGAGTGGGATTGGAGTTAATGGAAGGATTAGAGTTAATGTAAGAAGAAGAGTTGATGTAAGGAGAAGAGTTGATGTAAGGAGAGGAGTTGATGTAAGGAGAGGAGTTGATGTAAGGAGAGGAGTTGATGTAAGGAGAGGAGTTGATGTAAGGAGAGGAGTTGATGTAAGGAGAGGAGTTGATGTAAGGAGAGGGTGGCTTTTGCAGAGCAAGGAGCAGGCGAAGAGAACAAGTGGGAGGGAAGAAGTGGAAGGGGAGGCTGCAAGGGTGAAAGTTTGCAAGAAGGCAAGACAGTTGAGTGCAATCCTTGTTCACCGCAAAGGTTGAATTAAGTAGCTCGTGGAAAGGCAACACCAACACTTATCGCATTGATTGATGTGGCTACTTTCCATTTTGCAGAATTCTCAAAACACCCAGACCAACACTACCCTACCCACCAACCCATTGGTTGACGTGGATGAGCATGTGCTCACCCATTGGTTGACGTGGATGAGCATGTGCTCACCCATTGGTTGACGTGGATGAGCATGTGCTCACCCATTGGTTGACGTGTATGAGCATGTGCTCCGAGTTGGCCATTATCTTGAGCAGCTTTGGCTCTGGCATGTCGCTCCACCGGATGTACCTGCCATGGTGGGGGGGGGAGGTGGGGCAGGAGAGGAGAGAGTTGGGGGAGAGAGGGGGGAGGAAGGATGAGAGAGAAGGGGGGCAGGGAAGATTGGTGCCGTCACACATCCTCGTCATTCTCATACTCACAGGTCCCGTGTCATCACCCCACTCATGTGCCATCACCCCACTCACGTGTTTCCACCCCACTCCACTGTCATCAACCATATCCCTACACCCTGAACCCTAAACCTTGAACCTGAAACCTTGAACCCTACCTAGACCCCACTCACGTGCCACCACCCCACTCCACTGTTATCAACCATAACATTAAACCCTAAACCCTAAACGTAACCCTATACAGCCCTAAACCCCACTCACGTGTCATCAACCCACTCACGTGTCATCACCCCACTCACGTGTCATCACCCCACTCACGTGTCACCACCCCACTCCACTGTCATGAACCGTAACCCTACACCCCAAACCCTACCCTAAACCCCACTCACGTGTCATCCAATGCCAGCACTTCATCATTAGCAGCAGTGACGAGCAGCTTGGGCATGGTCAGGCGCTCCCTCAAGTAGTAAGGATCCGTGTCCTCCTGCACTCACCCATGCATGGGGTCATGTCAGCATCCGCATTACTTTGCCGCGCTCGTTCTCATTCTAGGTCGAAATGTCCAATCTAGCTCTATTTCAAGCTCAAGACTTTGGTTGGCAGCAAGGGCCAGGTGGAAATATGGGCATGAGAGGAAGAGCACGAGTGACGCAGCTTGGCAATGCCAGACCAGCACACGTCCAAGTCCAACCATTCTCTCTCGCAAACACTTCGTCACCCTGAGCTTGCAACGAGCCTTTGGAGCTCAGGCGATTGCAGCTTGGAGATGACATTGAACCGTGAGAGCACATTAATGCTAAAGCTGGCACAAGCACAGACGTTGCGCAAGATGGGCCACACGAGTACTCACTCGTTCGCTACATGGTTACACCATTCTCCATCCCACACTCGCCGTCTGTCCACGTGCTTACAACAAGCCGGTGGAACTCGGGCAAATGGAGCTTAGAGGTGACGTGACGTTGAAGATGGCGTGGAACCTGGGGATGACCGGCCACGCAACTACTCACACCACACTTCCCACCATTCTCTATCTCACACTCGCTCTCGCTGAGCTGTGCTAACAACAATCAGCTTGAACTGGGGCGAGCGCAGGTGGGAGGTTACGTTGAAGGTGGCGTAGAACTTGAGGATGACCGGCCACGCGCCCAGCGAGTCGTGCAGGCGTTGCAGGTTGCGCCCAAAGTCAAGCAGGTCATAGCTGTACACCACCATGCCCACCACCCTCTGCCATGGGAAGGAGAACAATCGAATTGCGAGAGAAGAAGACGAAGAAGAAAAAGTGCACACTGAGGATCCCGCCATGCAAACATGGATGGTTGCTGGTCCTTGGGGAACCAGCCAGAGTGCGTTGCTCCAGATCTAGCATCATCCCATCCCTCGTGATGATCCCTTGCTTGCTGCACTCCGCTGCTGCACTCCGCTGCTGCACTCCATAACACAGCTGCTGACAAGTGCAATTCTCTTGCTTGCGTCAAGGGAAACCATAAAACTTAAACTATGCATAGATAGAGTACAGTGCACCTCATACACAAATGGATACTGCATTGGAATGGAACACGCAGAGGGTGCGATGCCATATACTTCGTCAAACGATAGACGGAACAAAGCGAAATATACACAACACCCTATGGCAACACACACATGCCATAGACGAGACATGCCTAAGAGGTTAAGAACACATGACAATAAGGCCGAATGCAGGGCAACGCAACATGTATACCCCATCTAAAGTCAGGCGCCCCTCACCACACATGCAATGGTAGGCGGTGCCATGTAATGGTAGGCGGTGCCATGTAATGGTAGGCGGTGCCATGCAATGGTAGGTGGTGCCATGCCATGGTAGGCGGTGCCATGCCATGGTAGGCGGTGCCATGCAATGGTAGGCGGTGCCATGCCATGGTAGGCGGTGCCATGCAATGGTAGGCGGTGCCATGCAATGGTAGGCGGTGCCATGCCATGGTAGGCGGTGCCATGCAATGGTAGGCGGTGCCATGCAATGGTAGGCGGTGCCATGCCATGGTAGTTGGTGCCATGCAATGGTAGGCGGTGCCATGCAATGGTAGGCGGTGCCATGCCATGGTAGGCGGTGCCATGCAATGGTAGGCGGTGCCATGCCATGGTAGGCGGTGCCATGCAATGGTAGGCGGTGCCACGCAATAGTAGGCGGTGCCATGCAATGGTAGGCGGTGCCATGCAATGGTAGGCGGTGCCATGCCATGGTAGGCGGTGCCATGCAATGGTAGGCGGTGCCATGCAATGGTAGGCGGTGCCATGCCATGGTAGGCGGTGCCATGCAATGGTAGGCGGTGCCATGCAATGGTAGGCGGTGCCATGCCATGGTAGGCGGTGCCATGCAATGGTAGGCGGTGCCATGCAATGGTAGGCGGTGCCATGCCATGGTAGGCGGTGCCATGCAATGGTAGGCGGTGCCATGCCAAGCAGAGGCGGTGCCATGCAATGGTAGGCGGTGCCATGCAATGGTAGGCGGTGCCATGCAATGGTAGGCAGTGCCATGCAATGGTAGGCGGTGCCATGCAATGGTAGGCGGTGCCATGCAATGGTAGGCGGTGCCATGCAATGGTAGGCGGTGCCATGCAATGGTAGGCGGTGCCATGCAATGGTAGGCGGTGCCATGCAATGGTAGGCGGTGCCATGCAATGGTAGGCGGTGCCATGCAATGATAGGCGGTGCCATGCAATGGTAGGCGGTGCCATGCAATGGTAGGCGGTGCCATGCAATGGTAGGTGGTGCCATGAAATGGTAGGCGGTGCCATGCAATGGTCGGCGGTGCCATGCAATGGTAGGCGGTGCCATGCAATGGTAGGCGGTGCCATGCAATGGTAGGCGGTGCCATGCAATGGTAGGCGGTGCCATGCAATGGTAGGCGGTGACATGCCATGGTAGGCGGTGCCATGCAATGGTAGGCGGTGCCATGCAATGATAGGCGGTGCCATGCAATGATAGGCGGTGCCATGCAATGGTAGGCGGTGCCATGCATTGGTAGGCGGTGCCTTGCAATGGTAGGCGGTGCCATGCAATGGTAGGCGGTGCCATGCAATGGTAGGCGGTGCCATGACATGGTAGGCGGTGCCATGCAATAGTAGGCGGTGCCATGCAATGGTAGGCGGTGCCATGCAATGGTAGGCGGTGCCATGCAATGGTAGCCGGTGCCATGCCATGGTAGGCGGTGCCATGCCATGGTAGGCGGTGCCATGCCATGGTAGGCGGTGCCATGCAATGGTAGGCGGTGCCATGCAATGGTAGGCGGTGCCATGCAATGGTAGGTGGAGCCATGCAATGGTAGGTGGTGCCATGCCATGGTAGGCGGTGCCATGCAATGGTAGGCGGTGCCATTCCATGGTAGGCGGTGCCATGACACATGGTAGGCGGTGCCATGCCATGGTAGGCGGTGCCATGCAAAGGTAGGTGGTGCCATGCCATGGTAGGCGGTGCCATGCCATGGTAGGCGGTGCCATGCAATGGTAGGCGGTGCCATGCCATGGTAGGCGGTGCCATGCAATGGTAGGCGGTGCCATGCCATGGTAGGCGGTGCCATGTAATGGTAGGCGGTGCCATGCAATAGTAGGCGGTGCCATGCAATGGTAGGCGGCGCCATGCAATGGTAGGCGGTGCCATGCAATGGTAGGCGGTGCCATGCCATGGTAGGCGGTGCCATGCCATGGTATGCGGTGCCATGCAATGGTAGGCGGTGCCATGCAATGGTAGGCGGTGCCATGCAATGGTAGGCGGTGCCATGCCATGGTAGGTGGTGCCATGCAAAGGTAGGCGGTGCCATGCAATGGTAGGCGGTGCCATGCAATGGTAGGCGGTGCCATGCAATGGTAGGCGGTGACATGCCATGGTAGGCGGTGCCATAAAATGGTAGGCGGTGCCATGCAATGGTAGGCGGTGCCATGCAATGGTAGGCGGTGCCATGCCATGGTAGGCGGTGTCATGCAATGGTAGGCGGTGCCATGCCATGGTAGGCGGTGCCATGCAATGGTAGGCGGTGCCATGCCATGGTAGGCGGTGCCATGCAATGGTAGGCGGTGCCATGCAATGGTAGGCGGTGCCATGCAATGGTGGGCGGTGCCATGCAATGGTAGGCGGTGCCATGCAATGGTAGGCGGTGCCATGCAATGGTAGGCGGTGCCATGCAATGGTAGGCGGTGCCATGCAATGGTAGGCGGTGCCATGCAATGGTAGGCGGTGCCATGCAATGGTAGGCGGTGCCATGCAATGGTAGGCGGTGCCATGCAATGGTAGGCGGTGCCATGCAATGGTAGGCGGTGCCATGTAATGGTAGGCGGTGCCATGCCATGGTAGGCGGTGCCATGCAATGGTAGGCGGTGCCATGCAATGGTAGGCGGTGCCATGCAATGGTAGGCGGTGCCATGCAATGGTAGGCGGTGCCATGCAATGGTAGGCGGTGCCATGCAATGGTAGGCGGTGCCATGCCATGGTAGGCGGTGCCATGCAATGGTAGGCGGTGCCATGCAATGGTAGGTGGTGCCATGCAATGGTAGGCGGTGCCATGCAATGGTAGGCGGTGCCATGCAATGGTAGGCGGTGCCATGCAATGGTAGGCGGTGCCATGCAATGGTAGGCGGTGCCATGTAATGGTAGGCGGTGCCATGCCATGGTAGGCGGTGCCATGCAATGGTAGGCGGTGCCATGCAATGGTAGGCGGTGCCATGCAATGGTAGGCGGTGCCATGCAATGGTAGGCGGTGCCATGCAATGGTAGGCGGTGCCATGCAATGGTAGGCGGTGCCATGCAATGGTAGGCGGTGCCATGCAATGGTAGGCGGTGCCATGCAATGGTAGGCGGTGCCATGCAATGGTAGGCGGTGCCATGCAATGGTAGGCAGTGCCATGCAATGGTAGGCGGTGCCATGCAATGGTAGGCGGTGCCATGCAATGGTAGGCGGTGCCATGCAATGGTAGGCGGTGCCATGCAATGGTAGGCGGTGCCATGCAATGGTAGGCGGTGCCATGCAATGGTAGGCGGTGCCATGCAATGGTAGGCGGTGCCATGTAATGGTAGGCGGTGCCATGCCATGGTAGGCGGTGCCATGCAATGGTAGGCGGTGCCATGCAATGGTAGGCGGTGCCATGCAATGGTAGGCGGTGCCATTCAATGATAGGCGGTGCCATGCCATGGTAGGCGGTGCCATGCAATGGTAGGCGGTGCCATGCAATGGTAGGTGGTGCCATGCAATGGTAGGCGGTGCCATGCAATGGTCGGCGGTGCCATGCAATGGTAGGCGGTGCCATGCAATGGTAGGCGGTGCCATGCAATGGTAGGCGGTGCCATGCAATGGTAGGCGGTGCCATGCAATGGTAGGCGGTGACATGCCATGGTAGGCGGTGCCATGCAATGGTAGGCGGTGCCATGCAATGGTAGGCGGTGCCATGCAATGATAGGCGGTGCCATGCAATGGTAGGCGGTGCCATGCATTGGTAGGCGGTGCCTTGCAATGGTAGGCGGTGCCATGCAATGGTAGGCGGTGCCATGCAATGGTAGGCGGTGCCATGCAATGGTAGGCGGTGCCATGCAATGATAGGCGGTGCCATGCCATGGTAGGCGGTGCCATGCAATGGTAGGCGGTGCCATGCAATGGTAGGTGGTGCCATGCAATGGTAGGCGGTGCCATGCAATGGTCGGCGGTGCCATGCAATGGTAGGCGGTGCCATGCAATGGTAGGCGGTGCCATGCAATGGTAGGCGGTGCCATGCAATGGTAGGCGGTGCCATGCAATGGTAGGCGGTGACATGCCATGGTAGGCGGTGCCATGCAATGGTAGGCGGTGCCATGCAATGGTAGGCGGTGCCATGCAATGATAGGCGGTGCCATGCAATGGTAGGCGGTGCCATGCATTGGTAGGCGGTGCCTTGCAATGGTAGGCGGTGCCATGCAATGGTAGGCGGTGCCATGCAATGGTAGGCGGTGCCATGACATGGTAGGCGGTGCTATGCAATAGTAGGCGGTGCCATGCAATGGTAGGCGGTGCCATGCAATGGTAGGCGGTGCCATGCAATGGTAGCCGGTGCCATGCCATGGTAGGCGGTGCCATGCCATGGTAGGCGGTGCCATGCCATGGTAGGCGGTGCCATGCAATGGTAGGCGGTGCCATGCAATGGTAGGCGGTGCCATGCAATGGTAGGTGGAGCCATGCAATGGTAGGCGGTGCCATGCCATGGTAGGCGGTGCCATGCAATGGTAGGCGGTGCCATTCCATGGTAGGCGGTGCCATGACACATGGTAGGCGGTGCCATGCCATGGTAGGCGGTGCCATGCAA